ATGAATACAACACAAAACAACACAACAGTTACATCCATACAGACACAGAAAGAAGCTCCCCACGCCAGAATCAGAATATGATGAGGTATGTGGGACTAGGAATTGTTTTAGGTAATCAGGATAATTGAAATGAATGCATTTGAAAATAAACTGCAGCCAGTGAGAATATCTTCTATGTTCAATTGTTAAACAATTAAGTGACTTATACATGAAACAATGGTGGGTTCTACAGGGACACCTCAAGATAAATCTGCAAAGATTATTATAAGTGACATAAAGTGGGTGAAGAGTTGTATTTGGTAGAGAATGTCTGCATAATCTAGAATGGGTAATATTAACTGTGAAATTATTCTTTTCCTGACCTGAAAAGTAAAACAGCTGATTGACCGGTATAGTATTCTCAGGCTGCAGTTTACTCTCTGAGTAACAGAACTGACATGGGATTTGAAAGGGAGTCCAAGCATTCAATAGGTAGACAGGGAATTTGGTCTTATGGCAAACAGCATACAACATGTCTTCTTCTTGTTCAGAGATAATTTGTTAAAATGAAACCATTTTTGCACAGAATCAAAGCTTGTCTGGAGTGTATGCTGAATCTGAGAGATGTGCGAGTTTGAGGAATATATGACTGTATCATTGGCATATAATTGAATATTGCAGTCAGTGCAGCTATTAGACAGGTCATTAATAAATATAGAGAACAGCAATGGCCCCAAGGAAGAACCTTGCTGAACTCCTTTCTCCACAATCAAAGAACCTGACTGACTGCCCTGATAGGAGACACATTGACATCTAAGATGGAGGTAGGAATTAAACCAAAGTAGGATTTGTCTTGAGAGACCTATTGCATAGAGTTTGTCAAGAAGGATATAGCGATCAACCATGTCAAAAGCCTTAGAAAGATCTATAAATATTGCACCCGTTAACATGCTGTTATCAAAGGAAGAGAAAATGTCACTGGCAAATTTCAAAAGTGCAGTGGATGTGGAAAAGTTAGGTCTAAATCCGGATTGAAATGTAGATAATATATGAGACTCATTGAGGTACTGTGATAGTTGGTTGAAGATAAGCTTTTCAAATACCTTAACTGTACTATTAATAATAGAGATGGGTCTGTAATTGTTGACGTCATGAGGATCACCACCTTTATGCAGTGGGATGATTCTGGCACACTTCCAGCTTGGTGGGAATTCACATGTAGATAAAGATAAATTGAATAACATGGCAAGGGGATATGATAAAACATGAGGTGCAATCTTTATAAACCTAAGCTCTAGACCATCTAGGCCAACAGCATTACCTGAAGTTAATTCGCGGATCACCTTTTCCACATTGACAGGACGAATCCTTTGGAAGGAAAAGGAGCTGCCGCATTTAGGATTAAAAAGGGGAACATCAGAATAGGGAAGATCAGAAAATTGGGAGCTACAGACAGAAGAAAAGTGCTGGGCAAACGCATCAGCAATTGTAGAGGGATCATTAGTTAAATTATTATGAACTCTGATGTGATTTGTGTTTGAGTTAGCTTTATTAAATAGACTATTAATTCTATTCCAAAATTGTTTCAGGTTGTTGAAATCATTATTCAGACAGTCCCTATAATAATTTGATTTGGCATTTCTTATTTTGGTTGTGCTTATGTTTCTTAAATGTTTGTATATAAGCCAATCAGCAGGATCTTTTGTGGTATGATACTTTGACCAAGCCTTACCCCTTTGTTTAAAAAGATGTATGAGGTCACCATTGATCCATGGTAAATGCCTCCCTTTAACCTTAATGGTTATCCAAGGGGCATGCCGGGCAATAACATTAACAGCTCGGTGTAAAAGAAATTCCAGGCATCTTCAATAGATGGAATTAGCTGAAGCCCAATTAATGTAATTCAAATCCTGAATGAAAAGGTGTTCAAATTTTTAAGCTGCCGATGTATTTTGGGGGAATGCGAGACAATTTGATCTTCCAGACACAGAAAATAATGGAGTGATCGCTGAAACAGTCAGACAGTACCCCAGATTTTTGGATACGATTGGGATGGGTGACTAGAATCCAGTCTAGAAGTGACCTAGTCAAATGAAAGGGGTCAACTCTGGTAGGCTCTTTTATAAGCTGAGTGAAATTAGCACTGTTAATAAGGTTCCGATCCTTAGAGGATGAACGGTCGAGCCAATTCTTATTAAAGTCACCCAGAATGATGCATTCATTTAAGCGATCTATGGAGTTAATGGTAGACAAAATGCTTTGTGTAGATTCAACAGGAGCATCTGGAGGTCTGTAAATATTTCCTAAAATTAATTTTTTATTTTCATGAAAAGTAAATATAATGAAAAGGCATTCAAAGTACAAAGGCTTCACATTTGGTATGACAAGCTCAGAGCATAGGTTAGATGAGACATATGTTGCCACTCCTCCTCTAGAACCCCTGTCTGCTCTGTACAAAACATAATTTTCAATTTCAATGGCATTATCAGGAATAGTATTTGTTCAAGTGTGTTTCTGAGACTGTGATTACACTAGGTTTGTTATAAGTGACCCAGGCCTTTAAGGAATCAATTTTAGGGAATAAAATCACTGACACAAGCACTTCATCACATAGAACTACTTAGTAGCGGGTTTTTAAAGAAAGCAAAGGCTTTATGAATCATCATCATCATTATTATTATTTGTCACATTATTTAACGCTTTAAGGAGACAGTTCACTCGCAATCCAAAAATACATATTTTCTCCCTTACCTGTAGTGCTATTTTTCAGTCCAGATTGTTTTGGTGTGAGTTGCCGAGTGTTACATATATCTGCCGTAGAGATGTCTGCCTTCTCTTGAAAATAATGGAACTAGATGGAACTTGGCTGGTGGTACTCAAACAGACATTTGAAAAACAATGTCACACACAAACAAAAGAGGGTTGTGGCTAGATGATAACACTATATTTGTGAAAATCTCTTGCAGGCTGCATTAGATTTCTCTTGTCTCACTGTTTTTTGTTGTTTTTTTTAAGATATTTCTTGGGGCATTTTTTGCCTTCAATGGACAGGACAGCCAAGTGCGAAAGGGGGAGAGAGAGAGAGAGAGAGGGGATGACACGCAGCAAAGGGCCACAGGCCGGACCCGAGACCGGGCCGCCGCGGCAACAGCCTTGTACATGGGGCACCTGCTCTATAAAACTACCATAAAAATCACCATAAAACAGTGAGACTGTCTCACTGTTTTATGGTGTTGCCATGGTAAAGGTCTTGGTTGGGGTTAGGGACAGATCATGGTTTGGGCTGAAATTGTAACTTGAAACATAGAATATGAAATCACACTCAAGTTCTCCAAATCTGGGTTACCATTTAGACACAACTACAAAGGAGGGACTCACATAAAATACATTGTTCTGTATCATCACTAGTGGTCAAAAAAACTCCATAAGATACCTTAAAGATTTTGGTACAAACACATCACATACTGCAGCTTGCCAAATACTGACTACGAAAAGTTAAAAATGACAATTATTTCAGTACTAATAGTGACAAAAACTGGATTTTATAATAACGATGAGAATAAGTTAATACAAGAATTTCCAGCAAATTTAACATTTTACAATCATGATTCTTAACTGTACATGTTATCCTGCTCCAGTATCAGTATAAGCACTGTTAAATAACATCCTGAGCTAATTATGAGGATTAAAATGTACTTATGTGTGGAAAAAGAGCCCACACCTTATAATCAAGAAAATTCCATCATTTTTACAACAGTGCTGTCTTGACACAGCTGTAACCCTCTGTGGCAATGACAAAAGAATACTATCATTATGCAAGTATACCGTACAGAACATATTGTAATGAGGAAGTTTATTGTTGGTTAAGGTTTTCTGATGATGATATAAACACGTAATGTGTAGTTAAGCACAGATGTCATGGTCAAATGGTTCTGAATGCCTATCAAGCATTATATTATGCATTTGTGCTTCGTGTTGGCTTAGTAAGTCTCATCTCAATTTATATGCTGTGCTTTCAGGTGAGACTCCACATGCTTCTTCTTTTCCAGAATCCTAATGCTTATCTATTAGTTACTAGTGTGCTAGTAAATGTAAATTTCTACTCTTTGACATGGTAGAGTTTAAAGTGTTCAAATTTCAAATCATCCCATGAGCAAGCAGAGAACAGGAGGCTTTCCAGCTGAGCCTGCAATCCTGTTCCCCTGTTACTGCTTGTCACAGCCATCAACTCAGCGCAACTACCTCAAGGCATTAGAACATGCACTTTGACTGGAGGAAGTTGACACAATATCTCATCACACTACCTTGTACTTCACCCTTGAGAGATGTGCTATTCTAAACGCAGTATCATCAATCGTCCAAGATGTCTAGATAGGCCTTCATTCTTCCTGAAACATTAAAAACTATCAGGGGTAAGGGTAATGCTCAGTGCCCTTATGAATAAAAGCCTAATTGAACTGCACCACATTGCCATTCAGGAAAATCTTACGGGTATTACATCACCTGCTCAGAGAGTTTGCAGAGAGAGTTGACAAAGTTTGATAGGTTTACAATATGTGCACAACAAACACACAATATAAACAATCATCATGGTAAGGTTCATCAAAAATACAACTACAAAACAGCAAAGCAACAGGTTTGCACTGCCAACTCTTCAGCAATGTAACCATCTTTATAGTGCGTGGTTTTTGCCTGGAATGCCACCAAAACCAACTGCTTTAATGGGGGGGTAATAAAGGGGTAATTAAAAAATAATGCTGTGGTTACTGGATAGTGTATTGCTGAACTGTATCAACATTTTTGTGACTTGGCAAGTGTGTAATTAGCAATATTTCCTCATTACGCTAATAGAAAATGTAATTCACTTGTTTCCTTCAAAAATTTGCTGTTTCAAGTTATTTGTAAATAAACATAATTTTTAGGAGACAGGGCTGTAGAAAATACATATGTAAAATAATATATATGTTCATGTTTAAAGTCTATTTCAATCAGTAGAGACTTTATTTAAAAGTAAACTAAATTCATTGATATGGTGTAAAATAAAGTTTGGAAATATGAAAAATCTTTGGCAATTAGATCCCATCAATACAGGCATATTCCTGTATTTGCTTTTTCAAATTAGTTGTATATACATCTTCCATTCTCTTTTCCAAGTCGTTAAATACAGATGCTTTGTCACATAACGTAACACGAGTGACATCAGTGGGCAACACAAACTGCGTTCTCCTGGATGAAAGTCATGTTTTTGTGTGACCCATCCACTCCCAGATAACGTGAACTTTCTCACTCCTTATACTACATCAGTTGCCTTCAGCATCAAGCATTGCTGATGCAGATTGGTTTACAGAGATCACTGAAAGCCTTACGCGTCTCATCAAGATGCTAATGGGTGCCTTTGGCGTCAATATCACACACTGTGGAACATGACAAAGCATTGGTATTTGGCAACCTGGGGATGAGAATAGGCTGACATTCACTTGGAGCAAATATACACATATAGTACATTCATGTATTTCTGATGCCTGTTTTTCATTGTCTTAGAAATGCAATACATAATCTACCAGCAGCCTCAGGTCCTCTGGAAGTGTTCATGCAGTGTCTCATTCTGTCTAAATCTGAGACACCATTTCCAGGTCCTCCATGATCAGGTCCTGTTCTTTGATATGACTTTTAGCAGCCAAGCTCCCTCCTTCCTGACATGAGCACTTCCCATTCTTCCTTAACACTGAACTGGCTCTTGAGCCTGATCTACTGAGGACAGCAGGCTGGACCGGGAGTACAGCATTCCCTCGGATTCGGTACGAGTAGGTCTTCTGGTGCCCATTGCTCTCACAGCACAGCTGGAATTTGAAAGCAGCTTGAAAGCCTTTACGAAAATTCTCGTTGAAGAACCCATAGATGATTGGGTTGACACTGCTGTTGAAGAAGGCCAACCAGTGAGCTAAGGGATACACGTAGATGTTAATAACACGATATTGGTGTTCTGTCAGGCTGGTGTAGTCGCTCAGCATCATCAGCGTCCACAGAGGGAGCCAGGATAAGATGAAGAGCAGAGCTACAACCAGAAGCATCATTATCACCCGATTCTTTTTCTTCAAAATTGTGTGACGACCCTCCATGCTAGATTTGCTGTTGTCTCCACCCTGTTCAGACATACTTCCACTGCCCCTCACCTGAAGAATAGCTGTCTTGGAGAGGGTGAAGCCAATGCGGGCATACATGATGACGATAAGGCTGAGAGGAGCGAGGTAGATGTTGGCAAACAGGACGGTGGTGTAGATTTTCCTCATTTCCTGATTGGGCCAATTTTCCCTACACCAGTAGAAGGGGCGAGTGTTGTTGCTACCAAGGACAATTCGCACTCTCTGCTCCTTTGTGACTTGGAGCATGACCCCAGAGGGACACATAATGGACACAGCTAGGACCCATATAATGAGGATAATTAGCTTTGAGGTGGCGATGGTCAGCTTCTGCTTGAAAGGGTAGACAATGCAGCGGAACCTGACACAAAGGGGATTGGAGGAAATGTATAAAGGAAAAGAAGTCTTTTATGAGCATATAATAACCAGTAATACTATTGCAACCCTCACCTGTCAACAGCAATTGCCACTAGAGTAAAGACAGATGCTGACACGGAAATTCCTTGAACCATACCGCTTAGCTTACACACTATGCTACCAAATGGCCATCCTGTGGAAAAGACAAAAAAGAGAAGAAAAGAAAAGAAAGCAGACTGCATGACTAATTTGAAGGGAATGTATCAGTGAAAAAAACCACAGGTGTCCTTCTGTTCTCAACACTTCCTTTCCAACAGTTTTTCACTTTTTTCACAGTATGATGTCATAGTCAGTGGTGTAGTGGGGAGTATATGCAGGTATGCGGGATATAACCACTTCTTTTTCTGGCCATTTACCGTATACCCACCTATCAGCCAAATAGCCCTTGTAATATATGGGAGAGTATACTAACTTCCTCCTCAGTAACCTACTCATCTACCTAGTAGTGCACCCACCTCATCAACCACCACTACACCTCTGGTCATAGTATGGCGGATTTCTTTATATGGTCATCCGCACCAGGCATGCTACATAAGCGCTACATTATGTAGCCTACACTGCTACATGAAGCTTCATGCTAGCATCAGGTAAACATGTAAACTGTTGCTGGTGTTGTAAATTTCTCCACAATGTCAGATCATTATCCTGCTGGAACAGGTTCAGTTGTGTTTAAAAGATTTTTTGGGCATTCTTCACAGTAGAAAGTGCCACTATTCTGTGTTACAAAAATATTTCGGCTACAGTGATGATGCAAATATGCAGGAATGACCCAGAAATGAGGCAGCATTTTATAACTCTTGGTTGCCTCGTCTTGAAGTCAGTGGATTTTGTGTTGTTGTTTTTTGGTTAGAAATAAGGTCTCTCATTAAGTCAAGCTTAAGAGACTTTCACATTTTGTTCTATGACATAAAATACATCAGTAAGTACCCTACTTGAAATTTTTGAAGGTTTTGTGTGCCTTAAAAAAGGTGGTTGCTAACTAGTGGCTAATTGAGACTATGCAGCATCAACACACTGAATACTAGCTTTTTACCGTTAGCATTTTACTTCCGGCAATTGAATTTAGGCTTCAAAAATCATGCAAGCACTGTTCATTTGAGATTATCAGAACTTGTAAATTTGCCCAGCACATTCTCACTCCGATCTTGTCACATATCGACTTTTCGATATGACTTCTTGCTCCTAATGGCTAAAAACAATTAGACTTGATTTCCTGCACTTTAGAGAAAGTTGAGTATAATATTTTCATATTATATATAACCCAGCGTTGGCATATCATTAAAGAGAGAACAATTGGAACTACAAAAAAAAAGACCTGTTATGATGTTGTCCACCAGCGTGGTTGGCATGCAGAAGATGCCAACCAGCAGGTCACTGATGGCGAGGTTGAGAATAAACAGGTTGGTGACCGTACGCATGTTCTTGCTGCGCAGCACAATGAAACACACCACGCCGTTGCCCACCATGCACACCAGGAATATGAACAGGTAGGAGACGGTGAAGATTGCAGCCACAGATGGCTTGTGGAGGTAGAAGTCAACATAGGTGATGTTCTGGTGGGTCACAGGGTTTTCCTGCAATCTTGAGAAATTAGATGGGTTTGGTCCCCCCACCCAGCTGGTGTTAAGATCTAGGTTCTGGGTCATGGTGATATCTGGGTGTAATAGAGACAGAGACATAAAGACAGGCAGTGGTATAATGATGGGTAAGCTATTACATTGTGTACTCAGTACGTAAGTGCATATGTTCATGGTTATATATCCGATATCCTCTGTCAACAAAACCATCCAATTGTAAAAGAACACATTAAAACATACTTCTTCCCAGTAGGAGTGTAATCATGTGGAGCAGAAGAAGGAATCAATTACAAAAAACAAAATCAATAAGCCAGCTCCTTTGGTTTTTGATTATTGTGGGTGGATTGACTAGTCATGTGTATAGTCTCTCACACACCCCCAATATAATGCTGAGCAAAATCACCAATCTGTTCTGAGAGAAGTGGCAAAGCGTGGCAGATTGGTTGCATCAATCATCCCGTCTAGTATTCTGGGATGAAATGAGGTTATAATTGATCTCAAACTATTTGTGACATATATGTGATTGGTAGATTTTACACACCTTGATGGATGGAGCATTTTCCACAAGACTGAGCTTGTGCTCTTTGCAGAAGGATGACTTGAATTAAATCGAATAAACTTGTGTTTTATTTTTTCATATGATGTGTTCACGTCTTGAAGCTCAACATCTACTGTGTATCTAAAAGACTGTCCAATCCCTGTGTGAACATTTTTTCACTGTTATAAACAGATAGGCCAGGGCAACTCAGTGATGAATGTTGAATTGATGTAGTTAATATGATGAATTAATAATTACTATTTAATAAGTAATTTCTCCATCATGTAATCTAATTTCAATTTCACACTTGATTGCGTATTTAAAGGGACAGTCCAGCCCAAAATCAAAAATACACATTTTTCCTCTTACCTGTTTTGCTATTTATCAGTCTAGATTGTTTTGGTGTGAGTTGCAGAGTGTTGGAAATATCAGCTGTAGAGATGTCTGCCTTCTCTCCAGTACAATGGGACTAGATGGCACACCACACTTTGTGGTGCTCAAAGCACCAACAAATACATTTGAAAAAATCAACAGCAACGTCTCTTTCTAGAAATCATGACCTGGGTTCTCATTTATAAAACAGTGTGTAGGATCCATACTAAAAGTGTGCATGCAGGCAAAAGTAGAAAATGGTGTGCACCAAAAAATATTGTGACCTATAAAACCGTGCAGAGAAAAAAATTAAAGAAAATGTAAAAAAAAAAAAAAAAAACAACAACAACTCAGCAGCAATGTCTCTTTACAGAAATCAGGACCCGCTTACTCAAGATAATCCACAGACCTTGTTGTGAACAGTTTCATGTAGGAACTATTTTCATTCTACCAAACTACAACCTTCAACTGTATCACAGTGCAGAAGAAGTGTGCATCTACTGCTAGCTCACCTAGCACCGCTAAGCTAGCTAACATTACAGCTCAGCCGAGGTAGATGCCATTAATGTTTACATCTCACGCTGCCACAAGCCGTGTGCCATCTTGTTCCATTATATTGGAGAGAAGGCAGACATTTCTACAGCTGATATCTCCAACACTGCCACTAAGAGGAAAAATATGAAAAAAAAATTGATTTTTAAAGAAAACATTACATCTAATAGAATTTGCCTGATAGCCGGAGTAAAAGAGAATATTTGATTACAGCTGCTCTGCTACTTATAGTTCCTTGCCCATACAATTTTGTTCATTGTGCAGCTTATTATACTAAAGCAAACACCAATCAAGAACTGAATAATATAATCTAAGTCTAGCAAACATCTGAGATTCAAACCCCTCTGTGGATTAGATGAGAAACTCTTGTAACAATTACACGGATGACTGAGAAGATGTTGGAGCTAATTCCCCAAATGCAATAAAATACATCCAGGACCAAGGAGACCACTGTAACACAATAGAAAATGTGCTCTTACATAAATTATTGTACTTATTATACTTTTAAAAGTCATGTCTGGTGGGTATTTTGTTCATATCAGTCTTTACAATACCTCACTTATTGGAAAATGTCTTTATTTTTCTGACAAAAGTCAAATCAGTGTGCAGTCATGTAGCCTTATTATCTTCACAGTTAACTAATAAAAGTAGATCTAGTAGTGTATGCATAAATAATAAGTCTGGGGGATGTGATGGACGGAGAAAAAATATTCCAGAGGGAGATTATTATAATACATTAACAATTTCTGAAGTTTGCCAAATAATTTTATACGAGACACTTATTTTCTTACCTTATAGAAAACAGTATATTCCTTTCTTCTGTCTTTTCAGATGTTATTTATCCAGAAATTCCAGTTGGAGCATTAAGCTGTGCGCTCTCATCCCTATGTGAGACCCTGTGCATCTGCTCAGTCCGCCTGCCGGGCAGAGACTGCTGTAGTGCTTATAGATGGCAGGGAGAAAATAAGATTCATTCATGTGAGGGGCGGTGCAGGTGCTGGGAGCAATACATATGCGGAGGTGTTCTGTGACATGAATGTTACATGGATATCATATGCATTATGTACTGTACACTGACTCCTTGTCACTGAGGGGCAGATGGTGGTGTGTGTGTGTGTGTGTGTGTGTGTGTGTGTGTGACTGTGTGTGACTGTGTGTGTTTTTGTGTAATAGGAGGCTCTTATCAAAAAATTCTCCTATGCTCAACTTTTCCCATCTTTGCATTTTTTATTTTTTGGCTCATTGTTTGGCCAATTATTTGGGCCCAAATGTTGTCAGATAATAATAATAATACCAAATGTTCTTTCATACACACACACATACAGAGAATATAAAAAATCAACAAAGTCATTAATTAAAAAGGAATTAACAATTTCCAGCAAGTTATATATTTTTTTCATTTCATCTCATCAGAGAGTGTTAAATCAGTGAGTTTATTCTGCCATGATTGTCCTTATGAAAACAGTAAGGCAGGAAAGGGAGTCTGTTATACCTGGGCAGTCATTAAACCCTTATTTGTCCAGGTCAAAGTCATTGTATTCATTAAATGCCTCCATGGTAAACAGAGAATACAAAAACTGGGAAAATTCTTGATGAACTGGAGTAACTGGGGGCCATGTTAAACTACAGCAAAGCTACATCCAAACATCTGTGTACAAACTGCCACACAGCTTGTGCTGTATAATCCAAGTCAATTTATTCAGTCAGCTCAGTACTTCCCAAACACATGCATTTTTGCTAATAAAAAAAAAAAAAAGTCTGATGCATGGATGAGTAGTGCCTGCAATTAAACTCTGCTTAATAGCTTATTACTTACTCTGCTTAACTTTGGGATTCTTCATTTACTGTGGAGGCATGTTAGGGGAAGAATGTTTTCTGCTTGAATTCAGCAAAACATGGGGTGAGTAATTTATATACAAATAATCTTTTTCTGTTTTGTAGTATTAATTGCAAGGCTGTTGTGTAGTATTCATCATCAACAACAAATTGTCCATTCTGCATTCACAGTGATAGCTTGCTGAATTCCTTTCTGTGTAATGTGGAATTAAGGGAGAGTAAATGATCTGGAATTATTTAAATGTTACTAAAAATAAATAAGAATATGCCCTTTGTCTATCAAAGCATTAAATAATCCCTTTCTTCCTCTCCATCCCCAAGGCTATTAGCCGTTCACATTTTCTAACAGGGCTCTGTGCCCTCGGATAAAAAATGCTGATGTCCCATATGTCGTTCAAAACTCATTATTACAATTCACCTGACTGACCTCTGCAGGAGATGTTATGCTGGGCCACTCTATTTTTATCAGCAGTGTGTTGCCTAACAGCAGGAGAGTCATTAGATTGAACCAGCCATCCAGCTGGAGTCTTTCTTTGTGGAGTTTGCATGTTCTCCCTGTATCTGTGGGGGTTTATTAATGACCATTGTGAGCATGAGAGTCCCTCACCTGGGACCCTAATTTTCTTTTACAGGAGTCCATTTCGGACAGGAAAATGAAAAGTATAGGTTACGAAGTTAGGTATGACTAAAATAGCAATAGCCCTATTCATCAGTCAGAAATATGAGACGATAAATCAAACTGTTGTCTAATCATCAATATGATTATATCATAAGTCAGAAAAGCAGATCATAACATCTGGACATCATATTTACTTTAAGATGCATAGATGCATAGATGTAGACCTAAGCGGGGGCACAAGGGAAATGTAACCTTTAATATTTAGACGGTGCATTTCTCTCAAAATAGCAGACGACTTTTATTTAAGACATGTACTTCATAAAGCGATGCAGAAAAGCCACAAATCAGTGCATAGAAACTCACCAGAATGCATAAAGAAATGAAACAATTGTGTATGAATGAGCAAGTACACCATTATCTGTATCGCTATCTGTCCAACCAACTAAATTACCTCTATCTGTGTCCGTACTTAGAATGGGCAGAATTTAAATCAATACATTCTCACTCCGACCTCGTCACATATTGACGATTTGGTCATAGACTTTCCACATCTACATACGATGTGCAAGGTTCACTAGGTGCGTTGGTTGTTGCTGTACTGGGACACTGTGTTAAGTTCAAGATACACTTACGTTTTTACGGGAAATTTACGTTGGTACAACACTGCAAATTTTTTTTCTTCAACAACAAACACACATGATTGGGTTTAGGCAACAAAAACAAAAAAACAGCAGGGTTTGGCTTTAGAATCGTACAGGACACGAACATCGCTCTCTCGGGTCAAGGTCAGTATTTGTTGAGCCCGTCCACCACCCCTCCCGCCAACCACATTCGGACTTTCGTCGCCTTAACTTTCGTCATTGTCCCACCACGTTACCCCCTGACGCTGCTGAGCGCCATTAAACTATAGGCTAACTGCCACCAGCTGCGTATCATGCCAACATTAACGGATGCCTTTTTCATTGGTTTCTGGCGCCGCAAGTCCCTGCCCAAGTGCCGGATTTCGAGAGTGAGACTGGGCTCTTTAAATCGAACGTGGATGGGGTTAACCGGAAGTGGGTGGGAGCTAACAGGAAGTTGTTGTTTTTTTTGTTTTTTTTTTTAATTAATCTTTTTATTGAAATTTTGGGCAGCAGACGGTAGTAGAAGACATCAATTCCACCCTATTAGATGTGCCATTTATAAACCCCAGCCCACTGGAAGTTGTTATTTTAAGACTGAAATGGGTATGGGTTGTTCAGGCCCCAAGGAAGGTTGCTGGGCTTTGCAGCCAGTTTTCACAGCAGCCAAGCCATGTAATTACAGTTTCAGGGTCTGTCATATGAGGCCACTGGGCTCAAAAAGATTCACAAGTGCAGATATTGATATATTTTAATTGGATGATACTCTTACTCATAAAAAGTACATAATCCATACTGGATGCTTGTTTCATCCTAGTATTCAGCTTAACCCTACAATTTTGCTGTATACCTATTATTACTGTTAGCTTACACACCAGAACGGTAAAACACCAAAGGTGTATTAAAATCACAGAAAAAAATAATCACCTCATTTTTGTTTTCCAGAGGAAAAGAGGCTCCATTAAGGAGGCAGGCCACTACACACTAACTAACTAAAACTTTCTAATAACATGACTTTAGAGTTTAAATAGATCAATAATTGCAGGCGGCGTCATGAAAAGAGAATTTTTTGCAGCGTGGTTTTCTGCTCCGTTTACCTCATTATTAAATTGTATCCCAAAGTCCCACTCCTCATCTTATTAGCTCCCCCTGAGAGCTAATTGTAACATATTTTTCACAGTGGATGCTTTGCTTCATTTGGATTGCACATGCATACAATTGGCAATACTTTCACTCATGGCAGTGGTAGTATAATTACATAGCATTCACACTGTGTGGCAGAAAAGTGTGAACCACCATCAAGAAGTCTTCAAACATCACTCCTCCAACACTTTTCTTTTAACATTATGTCCCTTGCACCAGAGTGTAGGGAATTATTAATTTACACACACACACCAACATAAAATGCAGAACTAGTGGCAGACAGCCAATTAACTCAAAAATACAGACTGATTTTATTAACTGTGACATCCATGATTGCCTTGGCTGGCAAGGAAGTAGACATTTTATTTAGAAAAAAAACACCCAGAGGGAAAACACTAATGGCTCCCCTCACCTGAGAAATGACACAACGAGCCGAGTCTGGAGAGACAATCACAGGGAATTGTTATGAACCTTGGAGACCATGTCATGGGAAGGGGATGTACAGTGAGTGTGGAAAGCCAGAGGGTGCCTTGTCAGTTTATTAAGAGTGTTAGAGCTGTAGGGAAAGAAGCTACAGCTCTAACACTTTTAATAAACTACCCCACATCCTGCGAGTGAGTGAGTGAGTGACCTTTATTTGTCAGCTCTACCTATGGCAAAAATGTGCTGGAGTATGATGCCCCCTTTACATTTATGACTGCCCCCTCATATATGCCTGCCTAGAACCGGGCTTGCTACTGAGCAGAACATACGGTAACAATTGATGCCATTGCAACAGCTGTGAGCAGAAATGGTCTTAAACATGAACCCAAACAGAAAAACCTGATTATAACACGTGCATGTGCCTTTTTGAAAAGAGACACTACTGCCCCCTTGAGTCAAAAAATAACACATCTTGGGATTAAACACCATGTGGGGGCTCAAGCATTATCTGCTGCTTATGCATTTGCTATTTAGTTTTGTTTACATGGTAAAATGTGGATACATGACATTTGCAGTATTCAACAGAATGTGATGTTGGATTTATGATGCTTGTGTGAGCCCTCAGCTGTTATGTGATGAATGGATGCAGACGTTTCAGGATGTTTTTAAGGACAAGCCAGTCGGGTAACCCTTTCTGAGCTTTGACCATCACACATATTCAGTCACTCGGGCAACACATATAATATCCAGGAGCATTAGCCTGAGTGAATGTCAGGGGAAAAAAAACATTGATATTCTCTCCCACACCAGAGGAGTTAATTATTACACATTTTTTTTCCTTGTGGCAATGACAAGAACACAGTGACTCATAGTAATGAGCCAATTAGTTTCATTACAGCCGGCCCAAGTCCTGTGATCGTGGAAACTATGCAGCCATCCTTTCTTATCTTTGCTGTGAGACTGAACACGGCTTATCTCTGAGCTCTTGAATTCAACCCAATTCATCTACTTAAAAAACACACACGCACTCCACGTGTCTGCATCTCCCCAACCAGATAGTCAATATTCCTATCACCTTTGTTGTTAGCAGAAGTCTAAAAACACCCTGTGATCTTAACTGATATGTAAGCTTGAATAAAACCATGTGTGTGTAGTGCATGGGAAAATAATGATACGGTGGGCCCGAGCACAGACATGCAGAATGTCCCACCGCTGCTACACTGGAGCAAGACACACAGACCTTACAGTTCTTTTTGGTATTTTGCATCTCTCTCTGTAGCCCTTATGCATCTGTCTGTGGTTATGTG